ATCAAATGACCATCGCTAGAACCCACGCGGCAGATAATTTCTGTTTAAATGGATGCCCTTGTCGTAAAAAGTGCAGAAAATTGCCAATTCTCATTTACTCAATGTCATTTTCTTAATCCAGGCAGCAACTCAGTGATTAACTCACTCTCAATCTCCCACTCTCTTTTTTTTTTGCTGTGTGCGTAAAGCTAAGCCCCAATCTAGATCCTCGATCGTCCTCGCTTTGTTTCGAATCATAGGGTGCACCTGACGCTATTTTTAGATACGTCTTCGAAGAACTGGATTCAGTTCACAATTGCATAATGCACTGGTGCGAAAACGCACTGAAATATTCATGTTCATCCTATTAAGCCTCAAAGTTGAAACTACAGTCTATAAACATAGTTCCAGTTTGTTTAATTAATAATAAACATTGAATAATTGAAGTAAGATATCAGTTTATAATGAAAACCAGTCAAATTCTAACCTGATCTTTACATTCTTGCACAATTGTTTTAAAGACACGCAAAATTTCTTGGTACACTAAAAAATTCTTGAGACACAGAATTTATTGAAATATAAATCGTTGAGACAAGCTTCATGAGGAATGTATTGCCTATACTGAGCCATTAACCTGTTTATTGCCAGAACTTGCTTTCATTGCTATTATTATCTCCAATTATTAAAACATTCGAGGCCAAAATTATTTGATTGTTTGTCGGCTGGAATCTCTGCCATCATGGCGGGAAAACTGTTCCAGTGTTAATGACTCTGTTTTTGCGTTATTATGATAGTTTCGGTGTGATGATAGTGTTTTTTTCGTGGAATGATGAATTTTCGTAATATTATGGCACAGTCTTCGTATGATGATGAGGCAGCTTTCTTTTTATGAAAACACAGTTTTCTTGTATTGATAACACATTTTTTTTGTTTTGATGAAGCAGTTTTCTTGTATTGATGATACAGTTTTATTTAATTGATGATACAGTTTCTTGTGTTGATGACACAGTTTTCTTTTATTGATGACACAGTTTTATTGAATGAATGATAGTTTTTTTGTGTTGATGAAACAATTTTCTTGTATTGATGACACAGTTTTGTTGAATTGATGATACAGTTTACTTGTATTGATGAGACAGTTTTCTTGTATTGATGACACAGTTTTCGTGTATTGATGAAACAGTTTTATTGAATGAATGATAATTTTTTGTGTTGATGACATAGTTTTCATGTATTGATGACACAGTTTTCTTGTGTTGATTACACAATTTTCTTGTATTGATGACGCAGTTTTCTGGTGTTGATAACAGTTTTCTTGTATTGATGAGATAGTTTTCATGTAGTGATGACGCAGTTTTCTTGTGTTGATGACACAGTTTTCCTGTATTGATGAGACAGTTTTCTTGTATTGATGACACAGTTTTCATGCATTGATGACGCAGTTTTCTTGTGTTGATGACACAGTTTTCATGTATTGATGACGCAGTTTTCTTGTGTTGATGACACAGTTTTCTTGTATTGATGAAACAGTTTTCTTGTATTGATGACATATTTTTCATGCATTGATGACGCAAATTTCTTGTGTTGATGACACAGTTTTCATGTATTGATAACCCAGTTTTCTTGTGTTGATGACACAGTTTTCTTGAATTGATGACGCAGTTTTCTTGTGTTGATGACAGTTTTCTTATGTTTATGACACAGTTTTCTTGTGTTGATGACACAGTTTTCTTGTATTGACGAGACAGTTTTCTTTAGATGATGACACAGTTTTCGTGTGTTTGTGGTGCAGTTTAATGATGATGGGTGTTGTGTTTTTGTGCGTTACTGGCACGGTCTTTGTTAGACTATGAACCTCTTTGGGGATTCTGAAACGTGCCTTTAAATGAGCTATGGTAAAAATATACCCAGTCGATGATGTCTATTTTTCATGATATTTTTTTTTCTGACGGATAAAGGACCTTTTAATTTCGGCAGATTACTGTAAGATTTGCTTCATTATTTGGAAGTATGTTCTCTTTTTCAGCGTATTTCGTCCATTTCTCAGCTGCTAATCTTTCGCTTTCAACAGCTAACTCCACACTTTTGATGGCTATACTTTATTTTCTAGTGACTAACGTTTCTTCCTCAGAGGCAAATCTTGTTTCTTCAACAGCCAGCTTCCCTGGTCTATTACCCAAACCACCACTAATATTATTGCCCTGACCACTTGCAGTATTGACCACACCATTAATAGTATTGACCTGACTACTAATAGTATTGACCTGACTACTAATCTTTAACTGCATCTCGGAAGCTCGCCAAGTATTGTCAATCAATATGCGAATAAAATCCAAATTTTATATTAATTTCTCATCGGTTTCGCGAACCACATAACATGCATCGTCTCCGGAGTCCAATATACAGGATTTTATTCTTCGTTGAATTTTGAAATATTTTCTTGACGATGAATAAGTAGTTCGTTAACAAGCTGTCTGCAATTAGTCAACGCCAAGTCATTACAAATAATTGAGTTTCTGCTTGCTATACCGAACAAGCAAACACGACCTATACAAGTCTTTGTTGTACGTTTTTGTTAGCATCAAACAATCACTCCAATTTAATACAATAGCGCTAACAATATAACTGCCCAGTTGTGAAGTTCAAACCAGTAAAATATTGTTTCTATAACAAAGAACTCAAATTAGCATCAAGACAGTACCAAAGAAAGAGAACATCCGTCTTCCTAAGTCGATATTTAGTATGGACAAAGATGATGATAATATGCTTGTTTAGCGTTTACTTTCATCTTTGCTTTCGTCTGATAATCGATCTTTTAATAGCTGCGTTTGGCAGTAGGCATGGCTCACGGATATCCCAGAATATTAGTAAATAATCCCCTACTTCTTGAGGGTAAAGCTCTAGGCTGCATAACTCACCGTCATTTACATCAGCAGGCAGTGTTAATTCCAGATTACAGGATTGCACACCCACACCTACGTAGCCTCTATAGGTTCTAGTTTGGGAACTGATTTTGCTCGTCGTAATGCCAAGGTCAAATCATACGACGAGTTCTGGTATCTAAAAATAAGTTTTGTGTTGGTTGTGATCATGCCACATTCATGCCACATGCCTTATTGTAACCATCATAAAAGTTCTAAATTTGAAGCAGGCGTAGGCCGCGGTTTTGCCGGACCCGTCCAGTTCCAGCCTCCATGATTGGTCTGAAGCTGTATAAGCGCTGTATTTATTCATGAGAAGCTCGTTTGCTTAGGAACTGAAACAATGAAGGGATAATTGCGGTCAATTTTCTTATCGATTTAAAGTAAATTACGGAGCAAGATGCGCTCATAAGAATTCTTATTTGAGTCTTGAATTCTCATCTTGCATATTTTTGTTCAAGCCAATCCTTTTCTCCATGTTGGTCTTAACTGTGTCATCAATGCACAATAAAAACGATAATTTATCATAAAGATTCCGTTTGTTTTATTCTATTAATCAGTAAGGAAATGGAAGCAAGAAATTATTTTGTACAAGTCTTATAATGCTTCTCACATAGTGTTCCACTAGCGTAACTGTTATGATGGGTTCAGAACAATAAATTAAATGAACTCTCAACACTTTGCGTATTGTTAGTTTTAGTGATTATTAAAAAAATTAATTGTGGTAAATTTTTCATTCGGCGATATGATGTCGACTTGAGATGGTACTGTATATACTTTTAAACGAACATTTTCTACTCATATCACGTTAACTATACAACTATTCCTTGACTAGATTTTTCATCACTTTTAGTGGAGATATCATTCACCTGACCGTCCGACTATATTTTTAAGTCATTTCATTTTATTATTTTAAAAACATAATGTAACTATGCCGTGCTGATAATTTTTATCATATGAAAACACGTGTAGACGAGCCGTGAGGCGAGGTCTGCCATAAAGAACCTACCGCCTCTGTCTTTGCAATATTCAGGAGCCTAGAAGGTCAACTTGGCATTAAGAGCACTCTGGTGCCACACTGAGCTGAAACGTTGAAAAGTATTGAAATTAAACTAAAAATTGAAAAACCATTGAGTGGTAATAAATTTTTAAGTCTTTTCGAGAGGTCGTACACCACAACAACTTTTTTAATTGGTCGTAGACCACAAAAATTTTCAGTCCCAGACCTAAAACGGTTATAAACCTTAACAACTTTTCAAATTACCGTAAATCTCAAAATCTCTTGCAGTAGTCGAAAGTCAAAGCCACTTAATTTCAAACCAACGTCTGTCCCAAAATGACTTGGATTTGTCGTAATCAACAACTATTTAAGTGTTCACAAATCTCATAATCGCTTACATGTTGTAATTCACATCAAATTTTAGAGCGGGTGTGAGCGCATAGCAGTGAGCCAGTGAACCTAAAAAACAAATCTCTCTTATTTGAAATCCCGAAAAATTCCCCGGTGATGGAAAACTTCGAAGCTCGGTTGGCCAAAATAATTTCAACTTTCCTCTCAGTTCTCGAAACTTCCTAAATATGCATGTATCCCAAATCCCTGATATATTCTCAAAGGCTCACCTGATTGATATTTTTTACAATATTCGTACATTATAATTAATATTCTATGTTTAATTTCCCTAATTGGCAGATGTTTGCTCCTTACTTGTGGTTTACTTCGAATCTTTACAAGTAATTCATAATTAATGGTTATTCTGTATTTTTCGTGTTCATTGTCTTTTTTGAACTTGGCTATTAAGGAGAAAACTAAAGTGTTTTAACTTCAGAGTTGAACCTCAATTTAGTCGCGCTACACAACCATGCAACGATGACAGCAGAAAATACCCGTAGACTTTGCTTCAGAAAGTGAATACCTTCGATATCAACACGTGGGATGCATGCCTTCAAATGAAGGACTTCAGCGAATTCCCAAGTTCAAGTTGAACCCGAAGTTCAAGTGACACGTCAGCCGTCCTGGCGACCTTTCCGCGCACGCGCCGCCGAGCCTGGGATGTTGAAACACATGCTGCCCCCAAAAGGGTATGGATTAGAAAACCAAAAATGTCTATCCCCGTATGGACCGTTGAAGAATACCACGAGTATAATTTGCCTTCGAAGGCTATTCCGAGCTCGAAAGATAGCCTCGTAAGTTCTGATAAATTGAACAGCGATAATGACGATGACCAACCAGAAGTTCACGGTACGGGCCTTTTCCCCCCGCGTTTGAACAGCTCGAAAGATAACAATGCTAGTCAGCAAGAGAACCACTCACCCAATCATAGTCCTGCTAAAAAGTTCGCTGTTCCTCGGTTGACATTAAGCAGTGCAAAATCTGAAGGTTCTTCTTCCTCTTCATCATCCTCATCAACCTCTTCATTGCAGTGCTGCTTGCCCAGTGTCAGACGTCATTCTTCCCCCTTCAGTGAGAAGTCTGAAGTTTTCATGAGTAGAACCCATCCTCCTCCTCCTCCTCCTCCACCGCCATCCAAAAATGTCCGGCTCGTTCGACCAATCTTCGTTCGACCGTCCCTACCTCGGCCAGAAGTTGTCCACAAATCCCTTCTTCCTTTCCTTATGCTTAATGAAGACAATGCTAGATTTTTCTTGCTCGCCTTTTTAATATTAATATATATGATTGTTGGCGCTGGCTTCTTCCAAGCTTTAGAGGAAGCCAACGAAACGTATAATAGAGAAGAAGCAAGTTATGAAATCGATCAGCGAATATCTAGCGTCAAGAAAGATCTCTCATTCAACAACTGCACCTGGGACTCAATTGAACAACTTGTTTACAGGCAAGTTTTATTACTTAATTTATGCGACTATATGGTCTCCCTTAGAATTCTTTCACGCTGTTGATTCACTTTGAGTGAAATTTGATGTTTAACATTGTTCGGTGCTTCAAAAAATGGTTTATATTATTAACTCATTTTATGATGAATTATACATTTATTTTAAGAAATATATTAGGCTCCCTTACAAAATTTGATAAAATTCACAAAAAAATCCTATTGTACGATTGTTACTTTGCATTTCTACTAACTAAAGCACTGTGACGGATGTTATCCAACATGATGCACCTAAAACATTAAATACAATTACCTTTGATAATATGAATATAATATGAACTTTCAAATGCTCGTTATACACCCTGGATGCAGCTGGGGCAATGCCACCGCTGCAGGTCTCTTGAATCACAGGAAGAGTTGGGACTACAGCGGCAGCTTCCAGTTCGTCTACACCGTCGTCTCTACCATCGGTCAGTCCATAATGAATAATTCTACATTCGCTACAGGTTAATAGGACAAAGACGAAACAGAGCGTTCTGACGAATAGGACGAAATTCAGACGGAAGGTTCCGATTAATAGGATGATATCGGGGCAGTTGTTTTAGGTTAATGGCATCATGTCGGGACAGATCGAGGGTTGCTGTTTATAAAGCCACATCGATAAGGCCAGTTCGAGTTAATAGAACAACAGGGGGCGCGCGTAGCCGTAGGCCACAAATTTTACTCTTAAATAAGCCCTGGAGCTAACGCCTAGCTTCACCATGCATTAACTTTACTCAGCTTCCGAATTAAAAGCCGCAGACTACGCTTGAACTCCGTAATCCAGACAAGCGACACACTGCCGAAAGATAATAGCTCCGTAGGTCTTCAGCCACTGCTTAAGCTCAAAAGCAGGCATTTCACCATCCGGCTGTACCTACTCCGGCCTAACTGCTTCTGGCCTAACCTATTCACGCTGTCCCGGCTCTCAACTTTCTTGCAGCCAATGACTCACTCTACCAGCACACTTGGACCGCCTTTCTAACTTCTTGCAGCCAATGAGGTTAGGTTAGGTCCGCTCAGGTTTGTTTTGGTTGGAGAAAGGTTGCAGCTCGTATAGGTTAGGCCTGAAGAGGTTAGGCCAGATGCAGTATGCCCATGTTTACATTTGGCAAGCTTTTTTTGTGGCTGTGGACATCCGGCGCTGTGGCTTTGAGCACTTGACTTCATAGGCCGTTAAGCACTCTAGCGTTCTTACCTATGCAAAGGAATATGAACTAAGAGTGAAGTATGGCAAAGCTGGCCTCCGGCATGCGCCCCAAACAACATAGGGGGCAGACGGTTCGGGTTAATAAGACAACATTTAGGCAGACGGTTCGGGTTAATAGAACAACATTAAGGCAGACGGTTCGGGTTAATAAGACAGCATAGGGACAGACGGTTTGGGTTAATAGGACAACATAGAGACAGACGGTTTGAGTTAATAAGATGACATAGGGATAGTCGGTTTCAGTTTTTTCGGTAAGCATCTAGAGGGATCATTTTATCCCATTTGCGCAAATGGCCCAATTAACCGAGCACGATTTATCGATCATATCTGTTGTCTGATCTCTATTGTGTTTGGGGGCGGGCGTTAAAGAAGTAGTTCTGATCTTATTACCCGGTTGCCCGAAACCGGTTGTAATTCATGAATACGTGAATTATTTAGTTTGATCATTTCCTTATCCAAATTGTCTAGTAAATTAAAAGTGATCAAATTCTTATTGGAGAAAATTTCCCGTCGAACCGAGCAGGTCAAAAATAATTTTGCAGACGACGAAACTAAATTTAATTAATACTTCAATTAAAACAGAGACAATTTAATTATTAAAAGAGGAATCACGCATGTTTATCGAAAAGAAAGAAGGTGAATAAAGTTTGAGTTTTGGAAAAATACTCAAAACTACTTGCCGGACGAATGCGTTGAAACTTGAGTTTTAGAATTTCACGGTAATTCAGAAAATTGTTCATGCAGCTGAAAATGTTAATGTTGGATTACAAACCTTATTTATTGCACGATCAATATATCGATGGAAATCTGTCGAGTCGGATGGTCTGAATCATTTTTTCGGAATCCGATTCGGAATTCGTAATTGGTGCACAACAATGCCATATTGTATTGTGTTTTGAACTATAACTTCTAAATAGCGAACCATGTTCAATCAATAAACTTTATAAGGAAAACATCTCAGGCATGAACAGTTAGATCGCACCCACCTGACAACGTTTCTTTAAAACAGGGTACGGAACAATTGCTAATCATCTATGCAGTCCTCTTCCACGCTTGATGCGTGGAAGAGGAACTTCCACGCTTGACCAAAGTGCGATTCTAATCAAACTTAGAATAACCTTCGATTTCCCTCGCCATTCCTCGCATCGTCCTCTGGCCCCACAGGATCATCATCGATCTCGCTCTATCTCCAAGCTTCCCTTCTATTCACATGATTCCTCTTTATCCTCCGTCCCTTTAATTCCTCTCGATCCCCTGCTGTCCCTTTCAATCTCCTTCCATCCCCTACGATCCCTCGTAATTCCTTGTGATCCCCCTCCACCCCCATGCACGACCCTTCTTGATCTTTCTCCATCTCTCTCACGTGATCCACCCAGATCTCCCTCAATCCCACTCCTCAATCACCCTCTATCTACTGCGATACTCCTCCATTTCCCTCCATCACACTCGATATACCTCCATCCCCTGAAATTCACCTTGATCACTCCCGACCTTCAACTCGGTCATTGAAATTGACACTTTTGCAGCCTCGCCCATTTCGCGAGACCATAAGTATGTTTTAATATATATATATATATATTTAATTTTCTTATTTCCTTATATTTTCTCTTGGATTCACGTTGTTCCCATTTAATCTAATACTACTTGGTTTCAAAGTCGATTCAAATCCCATGAGTTTTATCTATTTACAATGTGAGTGGAATTTAACGGTATGAAAAGGGTTCACGTTCCTTGAGCGATATTATATTATTTTCCCTCATTATTTAAATACAGAGCCATGACGCGAAAATAAAGTAAAGCAAGAGACCTGAACGTCTGTTTTCATACGATTTTCTCGATAGTTCAATGTAAACGCTTCTCGCCCGCTTCTTCGATTTGTCATTCGCTTGTTAAAAATATCTATAACTATTGTATGTACCCTATATTTTATTATACTTAAATCATATTTCCTCCATTTCAGAGCTGGTGAAAATTATTTTTATGTCATATTCATCAAAGGATATATTTATGCGGCGAATTTCAGTGCAATCAAAAATCATCTCGTCGGCAATGAAAAATCGTTTTCCAATATTCAAGTGAAATTTAGATTTAATGCAGATGCACAGGAGGTTGTTCACGAGCCTGGTAGAAATGCAAAATTGATGCAAAGTGAAGTCAGACTGCTATTTCAGTGGAACTTCAATGGGCGTCGCGTAAAATCAGTGAAATTGACTATGACGACGATACTTGACACAATGAATTGACTGTAACCGCGATACTTTAAAAATGCATCGATTATGGCGTTTCTTTTTCAATTAATGACTTGACTATGGAGCAATGCTTTGAAAAATGAACTGACTGCTGCGTTGTTACTTAAATCAATGATTAGCTATGGCAACGAAACTTCAAACAATAAATATATTTAGACCAGGACACTTCTAGGCAATTATTAATCGAATGTTTCAGTTATATTTCATCATCAGGATCATTACTGCAGGTATATCGGTCTGCAGTTAACTGCCTCCTGCAGTAATGAATATGCAATGTAATGGCCGCTGCAGCTGTATGCTTAAACCATCAGGCCTGTACAGCTGCCAGATTTACCGATGAACTTTGAAGAAATGCCAACATTCTCACCGCCGTGACGTGCTGTCTAGGCCCTGGTAATTCAGGGTCCTGTGGAATTAAAAATTCAGTGCACTAAATGCATGAGCAAATTACTAAGGGTGACATTTTCATTAAATAAATTTCTTTCGAAAAAACGTAACAACACTTGTTTTGTCACTGCTTGTAAATTGGCAAAGGTCAAAAAATAATTTCAGTTGGAAGTTTGAAAAAATTAATTACTAAAATAATTTTAATAATGTTCTCTTTCGTACGTTTAATGAATGAAAACATATTAAGTTTGATGTAGTTTCCTGAGAATACCACGAACTACAGTATGATCGGTATACCTTCTATGCGGTCATTTTTAATGACAAATCGCATCGTTGATGCCACAGATATGGTAAAAAATACAAACTCACATCCCCAGCGTCAACAACATTAAATTTAGGCCATTTGTGCCTTTAAATTCTCACCAGTGTTCGCATCATTGGTATCTTGTAAGCAGCAAATTAAAACGGCTATACTGCAACGAAAACTCCCAAATTACACATCTTTATTAATGACCGGTATCACATATTCGCGTCATAGCTACGTTGTAAATTTCCAGAACAATCATTATCGCACAACCGGCGGCTACCGAATGGCAACTCCAGTCGTGCTGCTTCGGGAGGCTTTCAATTCGATGGCGTCCCCTTGGCCGAAGAAGCTTTTTTAGATGACTGCTTACAAGCTGCGTGCGTTCAGCATCGAATCACTCACATCATCGCCGTTTATCCTGCCGCCCGAGACAAGCTCTTAACCAGACCAGGTCTCAAAGTATTACAATCGAGCAACTTCATCTCATGATCCGCGAATTTAATGGGCTCAGTGACACCTTTAGCAACAACTTCAAACTCAACGAGACCGTCACTCGCAATGCGCTGGAGGAACCCACCAGCATCGTCATCATGGAGTGGCCCGACATCATCCGACCGACGATCTGAAACCCTAAAATGTGTTGAAAGCATAATGCCACCTCTTTTCCACCTTGTCGCATGGGCCCGATATGGGCCCATTGTAGAATTGTTACTAGGTTCATCTCTGCGCATTGAACTCCAGCTGCCATGCATCTCACATCTACCTGATTTTCTAAGCTTTGAGATTATTTCACAATTATTTTCACGCCTCCCAATTTGCGTGTTGCATCATATTCAAGTGTATCATGTACTAATTTCCACCAAATTTTTAGTATTCAATGCTTCATTTAACTTGAAAATGAATGTTGGCCCATTCGAAATGTCGATTTCAAATTAAAATTACTTCCTCAAACCTGCGTTTCGATCAACCAACGTCTTCTGAAGAACAGTTCGACCCTGAAAATTTAAATCAATGTTTTCTCTGGTCATTAAACGGCCTTGTTTGAACAAGCAAATTATGCAATATAATACTAATTTCCTATTGTATATTCTATTCTTAATTTTAAACTTTTGCGAATTATTTTATTAAGTTTCAATTAATTATATTACATGTTATTTTAACAATTTTTTACCTATTTACTCAGGCTACGGTGCGACCACTCCTCATACCATACAGGGCAAGGTCTTCTGTATAGTCTATGGCTTTTTGGGCTGCTCGTCTGGCATCCTTTTCTTCAACCTTTTCTTGGAGAGGATCATCACACTTATGGCGTACTTCTTAAGGTATCAAGTAGTTTATAGTGGGATTATGTACTTCTTAAGGTATCAAGAACCTCTTGGTGGCATCATGAAGTTTTTAACGTTTCAAACACCACTAGTTGTATCATGAAGTTCTTAACGTATCAAGCACCACTAGTTGTATCATGAAGTTCTTAACGTATAATGGGCTGGGTTGGCCTATCGTCGATTTAATAATGCTTTTAGCTTGTCTCTTGGAGATCTGAGAACTTGCCTTTTGACTGACGTTGAAGCTAAGTAACTGCTGAACATCCACCAATTTGTGAGATGGTAGGCACTCCCAGTTGAAATCTTTACTCCTGCATAGCTTTATCTAGTCATTTCTTGAACGCATTTATGCATGGAGCTACTACTGTTCAATTTATGTCATTCGAATTGAGCTTTTCGCGCAGATTAACATGCCGTACTGATTGAAAACTGCATCATGCATCAACGATGCCGTAATGCTTGTTGATTGCCTCGTGGATTAACAATGTCGAAGTTACCGTTCAGAATACGCCCGCAGGATGCGTCATCTGCACCGCAAGCGCCGCCTGCGCATGCAGCAGATGCAGTCGCAGTCGGGCACATCCAAGTTCAAGAAGCCGTTCACGGTGTCGCCGAACTCGCTTGGTTCAAAGGACGCCAAAGCAGTCATGCCGGAAACAAGGGAGCACCCGGGAACAGACGGCATGTCGAATGAAAAGCCAGCGGCTGATGAACACGACGAAGAAAAAGATCTTGAGGGCTGGAAGCCTTCTGTTTATAAAGTTCTCTTTTATCTGAGCCTCCTTAGCATCGTTGTGGGACTTACAGCTTCCCTTCTCTTCAGTAAGGTACGTTACTCGTATATTCGTGCAGACTGAAAAGCTAAATCACGCTTAATAGACAGTTAAGTTTTTCAAATTATTTATGAAGTTACAAAGCTTAGTGCCGTTTTGTAACCAGGAAAAGAATTTTATATCTCTTTTGTGCTAAATTAGACTTTATGCTGAGAGAAAATTCTATTTTTATTCGAAGATGGAGCAATGGACGTATATCGATAGCATCTACTTCTGCTTCGTCTCATTCGCCACGATTGGCTTCGGAGATCTTGTTGCGGTTCAACAAGACAGTTCTTTCTACGGCACCTTCGTGTACGCATACAGGTAAACCTTTTTTGTGAACTAAAGCCTAATATTAGATGCTCAAATTAGTAAATGAACATCAACCCACAAATCCGGACTCGAATTTGAGCGATAAATGTAGAGCTTAAAATACATTCATCTTATTTGGTTGATTGCATACTATGATTATAATTTTGAATACTTGTTGCTGTGTTATTATTCGGTCTTATTCATTTTCTAATAAGTTCGGTAATTGGTATGAAATTAAATCATAACCATGCAAATATTTTATCGATTTTTTGCAGTTGCGCCAGGGCTTCCCATTCGAGTTTAGACACAAAAGATGCGATATGGATTTCAAAGATCCAAAAACGTGTGGAAATGAAAATCCTTTGTTGCTTCCAACTCATTATTGTTATGATAAAAATATTCTACACAGATTCTTCAACTTCTTCTTCTTGGTGGTTGGCTGCTGTTGTATTTACTCCCTGTTCAATGTCATCTCCATTACCATTAAACAGCTCCTCAACTGGATGATCAGAGTGAGAAATCTGTTAAATGTGATTAAATAAAAGTTGTATTATTATTACACAATATTTCTCTGGTGGAAAAATAATATCTTCACGTATGATACTGGTTTCAAATCATTACTGATATCTTTCAATTTTATTAAAATATCTTCATGTTATTTGCATTTCGTTATTTTATTTTTTAGCTGTCATTATGAGTTTTGTTAGTGCTAGTGCTGGTCCACAAGCAATCTAGTTTTTCCATCTTCAAAGTAATAATATAATAAAATAAATAAAATAATAATATTGTATCATTTAGATATGATAATATACGAATATAAAACAATATAAGAGAAAATTATAATATTATAATAATTGAATAATTTATATCATTAAAGGGATGCTTTCTGTTTGTGACGAATCTTAATGTTGATTATTGGTTAAACGTTAATTTGAATTAACGCGTAAATAAGATTATAAAATGATAACATGGGACACAAGATGTGTGCTACTAATTGAGTCCTCTTTTGGAATGAAGTATTTTGCTTGGATCATCCTTAATTTACATACTTAGTATCAAGCTTCATTTCCTCATGCAGCGAATGTTTCCAAATAGTCAAATGTTTCCAATTGAATAGTCAATAGTTCTCAAATCGTGTTGAATGTAAATTTCATTTTAATAATTAAGCTCTATTTCATCACTCAGGGAAATTTTTCAGGCTTTGTTTAAAAAGCTCCACTTCAGCAAATCTTGCTGTATGTACATTTTTATGGCCTGGCTGTTTTTCTTTAATTCGTCTATTCCCATTCCAATTTTATTTAGTGGTTTTCAATTAGCATTTTCCAATTAGTCTTAGTCCTAAAATTCAAAATGATCTTATTTTGCTACAATCGGCTTAAATTACATTTCTAAATTTACATCCCAGCGAATGGCGAGCAGTTGTCTCGAAGGCTGCCGCTGCTGTCGCAAGAAGAACAACGTTGGACCTTCGCTGTTGATGCAGCAAGCCTTCAGTCAAATGGCCAAGCAGTACCGCTTCGAAGACGACGATCCTCTCGACCTAAAAAATAACGACCCAGAGCGCAAGTTCTTGACTGGCGTCTCCACGAAGGAGAGCTATCCACCCAACAAAGTAAAGACTTGTTTACTTGCATTTGTTTCTTGTAATGGTATTTTAATTCAGGGAAATGTAGCTTTAAAAATTTTACAAAATTTTACTGGAAAAGAAGTATTATAGTTTGGCATACCAATTGATACGTTTTCACGAGTTTATGAAATTGAATAGATCCTCAATAGATTTATGTTGGCTATATTTTTTTTAGTATTATATATCATACGTGAAGATATATATATATATATATATATTTGCCGACGTTCAAGTCGCAGCTCGGTGCCGACGTTCAAGTCGCAGCTCGGTGCCGACGCTCAAGTCGCAGCTCGGTGACGACGTTCAAGTCGCAACTCGGTGCGAGTCGTCGACGTCGATCGGCTCCAAAGTTGGTGGCAGCATGAACTATGTTGGCGAGCCAGTTATTTCTGTCAGAGGCTGCAAATGCAAGTGCTTTGAGTTTATACCGGCCTGCTTCAAGTATGACTTTAATTTGTCCTTGGACCCTTTCCTTGGGCGGCCTTGCATTCTGAATCCAGCTGACAGCAATATAAAGAACCCTGAAATCTAAGAAGTCAAAAAGCCATCAAACAAATAACTACCGGTAAGGCACCTCGACAAAGATGAAATCCCACCAGAAGTGTGCAAAGCATTGGAGGAAGAGTCACTTGAGGCATTCCATGTAGTCTTGATCAGCGGAGACGTGTCACCAGAACTCAAGGATGTCTCCATCCTTAGTATCGATCCTTAGTATTTGTTTGGGACATGTTCAAGTCGCAGCTCGTTCAAGTATTATAGTTTGGCATACCAATTGATACGTTTTCACGAGTTTATGAAATTGAATAGATCCTCAATAGATTTATGTTGGCTATATTTTTTTTTAAACCAGCAAAACTTCGAAGTTAATTTTACTTTATCTTACTTTATGCAATCATTCATATGTATGGTGTTTTCCAATTCAAAACCTGACTCAACATTACAGCTGAATTAAAAAAATTCGATAATTCTATCTCATTAAATTGAGATTCTCTCGAAGTCGAGAAGAGGATTGTCTGTGTGCACTCTAGTCTGACTGTGAATCTTCGTGGGGCTTCGAAAACCAAAGTATGAGGTACGAGGCCGGCGGCACGTACGGGGGCACGAAACGATAACTACAAGTACTGGGACATCGCAGCCGTAGCTCAGTGCCGACGTTCAAGTCGCAGCTCGTTCAAGTCGCAGCTCGGTGCCGACGTTCAAGTCGCAGCTCGCTGCCGACGTTCAAGTCGCAGCTCGTGTAGTGTTGCAGGGGAGGTCGATCTGGGATTGTGCTCAGGAACACGTCTAGTTGTCTCTTGAAGGTCTCCAGGGTGAACTCCCCCTCTCTTAGATGCCTTGGTAGGGCGTTGATCAGCCTTGGCCCTGCCACGGAAAGCGACCATCGTAGCCTTGCACGCGAGAAAAGGCACACGTGCCACTTACGACAACTAAAGGGGCATTTCACTGCTTTCCCCTGCGATCAAGATCCTCGGCAGTGTGATGTCAACATGCTGCTGTCATCTATATCGGAATCAAACTTGCCTGAATCACAACGTGGCTTTGACCAGACCGCAGCACCTTCGACATGGTCTTCACGGTGAGACAGATGCATTAAAAAATCCATCAAACAGGAGAAGAGTCTTTTTATTTTCTTCATAAACTTGCCACAGGCTATCGACTGGCGCTGGAAGAAATCCTCGGCAAATTTGGTTGCACAGCAAAATTTACCAAACTCGTGCATTTTTTTCATTTTAACATGACTGGTGTAATACAGGTCCTACTTAATGTAGAGCGTCTCAACCACTGGGGTGAAAGCATCTTCAGCATGTACACTGGGGTGAAAGTAGTTTGGGTCCTCTCTCTGATGCTCTTCGACTTCTTCATGCAAGTGGTACGAAATGCTGTGAAAAACCTAGACATAGGCGCCTACTGTCTGCACGGTTTGTTTTTTGACTGACTGCTAAAAACAAGACCACAAGAAGGTTTATTATGGATGCTCTCTTCACAGGCAACTATGCCCTGATGGCCCATAAAGAAACTCATCTACAGTACATCGCGTACAGGTTTTCCGCCGCAAAACGTTATTTGACCTCACCATAAGCCTCAATAAGACGGAGGTGCTATTCCAGCTGGTGCCAGGGAGGCCGAGTATCCATCCATGCCTTAACATCGATCCCTGGTCCACGGATTCACAAGGCCAGCCACAAACTTAACCGGCTTCGCACCAAAGTTCTCCATTGCAGCAAATTCAACCTCGCAACCAAGCTCAAGGTGTACAGTGCAGAGGTCCTCAGGTCTCTCCTGGACTGTTATGGACCGGAAGCATGTAAAACTGCTGGAGCGATTTTACCGGCTCTCTCTCCAATCGATCAAGGTGACCCGGTTGCAAAACCATTTAATCAATCAGGAAGTCGGATCTGTCAATCGACAGAGCCAACTCTACCAACGTTGAGGCTACAATCCTTAAAACCCAGTTGCGATGGTTCGGACACATCATTCGTATGGACTCAAAACGAATACCATAATAATCTATTAAGAAATCAGCAATGGCAATAAATTCCTCTCAAGCAACAATGCAAGACTCGCACACTATTCATTTTCTTTCTTTAAGGTGAATCTGGCAGTGCTGCAGAAGCAGCTGCACGACAACTCACAGAGGCACACCCTAGGGCTGCCAAACGCGCACGTCCCCAACGATGATGTCAGCCCCATCGACTCCCCTGGGCGCCAGAGTCAAGGGTCCGCGGGCCACGAGAAGAAGCATGGGGACCGCATCACACCGGGGCAAGTTGGGCCACTTGCCATCGCTTCATCGATGATGACTGAAATGACTTGAGTCTTTGCTGTACCGATTGTGTCAGATTCTCTTTAGTCAGTCGTGTCTCGATCGAAGCTTCACTGTGAAAGCTTACTAGGTTTGTGTCTTTATAAGACCATTTGTGTTTGGTCAGTCGTGTCTCATAGTAGTCTCAAATTGGAAACATTATACATTATGAGGTTACCGACTTTATGGGATTAATTCTGTCAGCTTATGTTTAGTCAGTTGTGTCTCCATCGAGGCAACACAGCGAAGACTGAAAAGGTATGTAATCGACCGATTTTGTCAGGTTTCGTTGTCAAGGTAATGTTTTCATCAAATCGTCATAGTAAGCAGTGATGAAGTTCATGATTTTATAGGACTGATTGCGTAAGGTTTACTTTTGTAAATAGATCGGATAGATCATTCGATCTATCCAACTCAGTATACTGTCAGCGTGAATTTACAAACCATGGTCACTATCCAAAGTGAAAATTGATTCCGATTCAATAGAAAACAAAATTAAACTCGCCTCGCTATTATAAGTTCAATCTGACCATAATATGAATAATAACATTAATTTTTAATGAGTTATTCGAGCTTTCACTGAAATCGATGAACTCCAATTTTGATAAAAAGCCAAGCAATTCAATAGTTAATACATGCATTAGGACCCTTCGCTATCTTAGTTTAAATCGCAAGTAATTCAAGATATTAGAAGTTAAGAACATGGAAAACATATTCAATATATTTTCTTTGAAAATATATCAATAATCAACTCTTTAAGTCATACGATTTGATTTTGCTTGTAGTCTTGAATTTTGATCTGTCAACGAAGTCTTTTCTATGACATCCGTTGTTTAATTTATTAATAGATGAACTATAGGATTATGTCTCAGTACCGATGGGTTCTTATTATTGCCCATAAGCTATAGCAGGTGGAATTAATAGAGAGGCAATACTAAGAGTAATAATCAAGTGTTGGATTACAGGGTTAGGCACGATAAGGTATTATTACATTAGTAGATAAGGTTTAGTTAACGACACGTCCGCGAGTAGGACAAGTTAGTGCCAGAGCCGATAGACGTGGTGGATGCGTCTAAGGTTAGGCTGCGATGGACATTCTAAAAGCTGTTGGTCTATGACTGACTGGTGGTAAGCTTAAAGAACTTATATAGACTTGCTACAATGAGGTCACCGAAGGAGACGTAATTAGGGAAACTACTGACAGCATGGATGGTGGGTGACGTATGAAATAAGTCACTTGACAGATCTCTTGATGGAGCTGGTCTTCGAAAAATTCCAGTAATCAAATTTTGAATTTTACTTTATACACTCAAATGATTCTAAGAACAGAATGTCAAAAATGAGAGCCTTCTACACCTCGTTTGAGCGGCAATATAAGGTTTTTTATCATGATTCAAAACCAAAATAAACATACAATGTAAGATTTAAATATCGTCCATGTAAATACTGGCTACTGCAAATCGTATAACTAATTATATATAGGTATATAATTATCAAACAAATTTTACAAAAGAATGCGAATGCAAAGTCTGTTTTGAAATCAACAGCAAAAATTCTTACCTATCAGCAGAAAATTATCTCTGAACCATTTTCTCTGTTGACCAGACCCAGAGTAACCGAAATATTATTTAATTAAATATTTATTAATGTGATTTCTGGAAGTACGAATAAGCAGAACATGATTCCTGAAAGAAGCTCAACCTGGAACATAGACGCTTATAAATGCTACGTATTTATGAAAAAGTAGATCTATTATCTTTATTATATACTATTACAATGGATATTCCATTGAACTAATATGAAATTTGTTCCCTGTAAGAAAGACCTTTGATCAAAGTGTATTTTTATTCATTGTATCAATCTATTATGCAGGAATATATATAGAGCATCTATTCATAACAAATGAGAGGTTTAGATTACGAATGTACCGTAGTCGTAAAATTTATATTTTATGAATATTTAGGCTCATCAAAATGAAATTTAGTAAATACTCGTATCCCATTTCATAATATGAATAGGATGATGAGAATAAACAAATACTTATGCGATGGGACCAAAAATAAAGTGGCTTACTTAGGTAAAAATATATTTAGTAGTCGCAATAATTCGCATTTATGACTAATGAAAGAATACAACTGTACAAACTCGTCACGTTAAATTGGTGAAGAACTATATTTTACGTAACTTCCTATAGCAATATTATTCCAAATTTTTTCCTATTTCAAATGGTTGATAGTTTTGGGCTGTTCATGCACTATTTTCTATTGAGAGCAGAGTGAGATAATATTTTTCCTAACATAACGCTTTGAAACGTTACTTAAAATGATCTCCTATAAAAAACTGGTCTATTAGAGAAAATTTAGAATTTTTTCTGATTATATGAACTAAAATTTACCGTTTAATTCTTTACTCCAGTTAGATAAATTTAGCAAAGCTTAGCGATTACCGACGGACTAGTTCATAATTGAGATATGAATGCGTTATTATATTATATGAATACTGCCAAGTATTTATTCATAAGAATTGTTTAAGGGAATGGCTATAAATAGTTAGCTGGCGGACAATTGTAATGTTGACTAACTAATTACGAATTAATAAATAATATAATAATGTCACTCTCTAACCGTCCAGCTTGCTATTTACTCAGGAACACGTCATGCTTGCATTAATTTAACGCAAGCATGATGTTCAATGCTAATTTAATGTTCCATGCTAATTTTTTGACAAGGTCGAATTAATATTAACATTTAAGCTCTTTTAAGTGTTACCTCATTATATTTGTATAAGTGCATTCCATTGATAGTTGGTCCGCCATACAAGAAATTTGTTTAGTGAGAGCACTCGTGAGTGATAACATATCTTGGTGATACTGATGCTGCTGAAATCTATTGTGCTGTGGCTACCTATATATAATCTATTCATCAATTATATAATCTTGTATATGTAGACTAACTCCGGATGTGCAAAGTGCATGTCTCGGCTATATTGTACACATGAAGATCTTCATTAAAGTAAATAATTTACTTCCAATCATTACCCCACAGATAAAAATAAATTTATTTTATGTAATTGCGTGGAAATCGGTGGGTGATTTGATGCAGTATACGGTAACTAGTGACTGGTTGGCGAAAAGATAGGTTTACGGGCAGGGTGGCCCAGTGGTTAAAGTTCAGAGTACCAAGATTGGCGCAGAGAGGTGCAGGTTCGATCCCAGCTCTGTGCGCCAGTTTCTGGTCAGAATCGGCGAGGAGGCCGGGCAGTTAAGCAAAGTAGAATTGAAGCAGTGTGTTGTGAGTTCGAGACCGCAAAATGCTGTGAATGTTCTGCGATGTTAAGAATCGGCGACAGGCCTACGGCCTAATAAACGCTGAAACCGCTATTATATATATATTATATTATTAAAAGATTGAATGCCGGAACGTTCCTACGCGGTTAAGCTCTCTGTCTGATTGGTGCAAACTTATTGTAGGTATTAACGCACGATGCTGGGCCACACTAATCCGAATTTTTTTGTTGAATCCAAGTTAGTTTAATTTAGAATATATGTTTTAGATTGTGTGTCTTGTCTTAGATTGTGTAATTTGTGTCATACAAAATTTGTTAGCAGGTAATTTATGAAGAAACTATCGATTATGTCAGTCAATGCGAAGCTGGGCATAGTCGGTCTATAATAGGCTACCTGTGGAAAATATTCAATGCGAACTAAGAAACGACGCGCACTGGCCAGTACCAGTAAAGATTGACGAACGATCCAAAACCATAATATATCCGACTGCTTCACTGAAGGCTTATTGGTCTATTTCAATGAATTTAATCTGTCGTGCGGTTTACGACCGATGACGTGATAGACCATCACTTTAGCAAGATACGTTAGTAACTTAGTGAATAGTGATCAAGGAAGTGATAACGTTAGTGACCGTGTAGATCGGGTGGATAGAGATTGTGTGCTTTTGGAGGCCTCCGGCAATCTACCCTACTTGTCCGCAATGCTGGATTGCTGGTCCAGACCAGCGTTGCCAACTGGTATATTTCCATACCAGATTTCGCAAATCTGCTATTTTCGGACGGTGTCTGGTATGAATAATTTCAATCTGGTATATTTACCTAAATCTGGTATTTTTCTGGTATTTTCTGACTTACTGCAAATTTCCTACGTCTCGGACAAAAACGCGGCCTCTCTCACGGCCGGTCTCGCGGCCGTGATTCCAAATTCAGTGAGCGTGGAATATCTCGCAAAATACTGAACGTAGCTTGATGAAACTTGGTACACATAATCATTAGAGCCTAACGGTGATGTTTTTTCGTACGCAAGTCTTAGCTAAAAGCGTAAATGTTTTTCCCGCGCAAATGTTTCCCGCTCAAATGTTTTGATAATACCACCGCTAGTATTACGTCATTTTTACGTCCCGTCATTTTTGGAGCCGATAGATTACCGCTTGATGAAATAACTCCTATCTAGTTGTTCACATTTAACAAAAGTGCTTAGTGCAGTATGAGCACAAGATTGATGATTCTTGATTGATTACTGAACAGTGATGATATGGCCTTTGACGAGTGTGGTTGTCTCTGTGAAGAAAGCCCCACTGTTTTTGTTTAATGGTTTTAAATTATGGAGTGTCACTTGAATTCTAGGTTGCCATTCAATATTTCACTGATCTGAAAGTCATCATCCTTTCATGGAACTGGCTGACTACTGCATCACCTGTCTATTTATACCAGCCTCCAATGCATTCGTGGAGCAAGTATTTTCACGTCAGTGACGTCTCCAATGTGAAAAACAAGCATCGAAACAGAATTTCAACTGAAGTACTAGAGTCCGCTATTACTTATTCGGACCAAAAGCGATCTGCTCAGCCGCAACTAGTATTGCCGCAATTTTGTGATCATACCTGAAATGTTAGCTAAATGCAATCTACATGCATGATGTACGAATATAAGGAAGAGGAAGTCAGGAAGACGACCTGTTTCCGTAGCTTGCTCATCTTGAGTGAAGGGGAAGAAGTGTCACACTGTGATAAAACAAAGGGAAAAGTGACGATTTCATCATACACAGGAAAAGAAGTGTCATAATGGTTCAAACAGAGGGAAAAAATACAATTTGGTTAATTATCCGTCAAGTCAGATAAATACACAGTAAAAAAGATAAGAAAAAAATACATTTATTTTTTTATTTTTCTAACTAACATTTCTGACGAATAATTTATCAAATTTGGAGTTATGTTTTTTTGAAAAATAGAATTTCTGGTATATATCTGGTATTTTGAGCTAGGCAATCTGGTGTTCTAGCCGAGAAAAAAAGTTGCTACTTGCTGGTCCAGAGTCCAGACTTCAGAAGTTCGTTCAGGCAGTTGCGTTGAGGGTGACGTGTTCGTGAAGGTTCGCTTACCAGTTACTAGCCTACATATGCCACATGGTGTCGTCTGTCGTGGGACGTGAGTTGTACCGTAGGCTGTGTAGCAGAGGTTTCCAAACTACGGGCCGGAGGCTTACTAGTTACTAATTTACTATATGGTGTCGTGACTCGTGTGGGGGGGGACGTGAGTTGTAGGGGTGCGCACTGCGCAGCCGTAGACTGTAGAGAGTAAATCTGTGGACGGTGAAAGTAGGAATCATGATTTGACTTTTTACGCGGAATTTAGTTTCAGGAAATGAGATATAGGCTATCTAAAAGTAGGCATTCGATAAATTATTTAGAGACTTGCTATGCAGACATGAAAGGAATGTTAATAATTAACAAAACTTGCACAAAAATGTGAAAAAGTACATCATTTTAACAGCAGATAGTATTAAATATGAACAATTGACAATGCATTTGCAAAAAAAAAAAAATAAAAAGTTGAAACAGCACATAGGCTGAAAATGTGAATAAGTGACAATGCTTTCACACAAAAAAAAATTTTTGGGACGATTTCACCCCTCCTGGTAGGCCTACCCCACTAACCCCAGGCTGGTCCCCCGGCCGTGCCGCTTGAGTTCTCACATAGCAATGGAAGAGCAGGTTGGCTCCCAGATTTTTATGGTTCCTGGCGTACCGGCAAAATTATTCAACATGTTGAATAATTTTTCCGACCAAGCCGTATTATGGTCAAATTGGTCATGCCCTCCAGGAACTCTAGGAACTCCCAGTCCCGGATCTCTAGTTCATAGTGGCAAAGCAGAAACTTTTTTAGACTCTGCGTCAAGTTAATTTTTGAGTCCAATTAGTAGACCAGAAAAGTATCCTGGATACCAGCATTGTTATACATAAGAAATTGGTGTAAATCTTGAGTAAATATATAAATTAGAAATGAACTGATTCTAGAAAATCTGTGCTTTGACACTATGCTCTAGTTTGATAACCGGTACCCCAGGAATCGATTCCAGGTGTCTTCCAGGCTGGAAGACACCTGGAACCGGCTCACATTCACATTGCCAGTTAAAAAAAAAGGGCTGGAAGTTCCAGCCCTTTAACCGGCAATGTGAGATTGTGAGAACAAGACATTAGAGGTTATTAACAAAAAATATGCGTTTAAAAATTACTGTTTATTAAAGAGAACACTGAACAATCCAGTGTCTTGGATGTTACACATGTACAATGAATTTCTAATTTTATTTTCAAATATTGAAAAAAATATATATTTTTCAAAATTTTTTTAAGATATCATAATTTTGTAAATTATCAAAATTATTTATTCTGTCAATTGATGCATGCATTGTCTGACTTAATGCAATTGTGCAAAATTTCAGATCAATTGGACAGGTCTAATTGTGTCATATAATATATATATGGATTATAAGATTTGTAGCAGTCTAGCAGACGAAATTATTTTTTAATTTCTTTTAATAATGAAAATAAAATTTTTAAATCATGAAATTATTTATTCTGTCAATTGATTCATGCATTGTCTCTAACTTTATGCAAGTGTGCCAAATTTCAGATCGATTGGACACTGGACAGGTAGTCGGTAGAAGTGTGTTAAATATTGATTATAAGATTTGTAGCAGACAGACAGACAAACAAACAAGAAGTGAAGTTAAAGAGAAGTGTTGTAATAAAAATGCTCAAAACCATCCCTTGTTACCCAATTTTACTGTATAACTTTATTTGTGGGAATCAATTGAAATGGCACAAATTCATCTTTGAAGTACAGTTACCACTTGGAAAAATATGATTTTCCTTTCAGTTTTTACAACACTTCTCTTTAACTTTACTTCTTGTTTGTTTGTCTGTCTGTCTGCTACAAATCTTATAATCAAAATTTGACACACTTAGAACTACTTGTCCTATCGATCTGAAATTTTGCACACTTGCGTAAAGTTGGAGACAATGCAAGAATCAAATGACAAAATAAATGATTGAATAAATTGAAAAAATAATTTCATCAGCTAGTACAAATCTCATAACTGATATTTGAATTTTGACACACTTTTACCTGTGCAATTGATCTGAAATTTTGCACATTTGTGTTTAATTGGAGGCAATGCAATGAATGCATGAATCAATTGACAGAATAAATAATTTTGAAAAAAATGTTGTACAGTATATTAAAAAATTTGAAAAATAAATTTTTTTAATATTTGAAAATAAATGTGAAATTCATTGTACATCTTTAACATTGGAGACACTGGATTCTTTAGAAGTGTTGTCTTTACAAAGTAATTTTTAAAAGTATATTATTTATATAATATCCCTAATATCAACACTATGATGAATGAGGAAGGTAGCATCTGTTGGGCTCTTGCCAAGACCTATTTTGGTCACTGAGCGAAACAGTGGTTTATGTTAGTGTATTTCAATTTGTATTAATTTTATATTATTTATTTCAGATCAATATTGCTACAAATTACCTCTAGATTTATGCTTTTGTCAATTATACGGGCTCATTTGTTGCAATGGTTGATGCTGGAACAAAAAAGACTCTTGCTAGTATACCCTTGTTGAAAACTAAAGCTGGACCAAGAGATAAAGATCTCTGGGTAACACGATTGAAAGAAGAGTATAGTGCTTTGATTCAGGTAACATTGACATAATTTTTCAAATTTTTGTCTGTATTCTTGTTCTATTTGTTATTTATATTTTGTGCATCTATCTTACATCTGTAACACATTAGTTGCCATTTGACTCAAGTCACTGTCCTTGAATAGAAAAAATGTATCATATTAACAATTTAACAATGAAATTGTAATCAAATTTATGGAGCTTGGTTATTTTTTGCATAACTCCATCTTTTTGATAATGTATTTCTGACCAGGCTACATTATCCAATTTTTATTGTTGAGTCATGAGGTAGGCCCACTAACTAATTTTCTATCTATAGGTAGTATCCATTCTTCTTAGAAAAGGTTATTTTCTCATGATTATTATTTACTCAAAATTATTTATTAATGGAATATAAACTCTTTTTGTAATGTCTATTTTGATTATTATGTTGCTGGAAATGATTTAACAAAGCTGAACATTAAACCATTATTCTATATACATTGCATTTATATAATAAATCCAGTCTAATTTTAGTATGCAATGCTGCCTTGGTGTTTTTTTACCCTCATAGCAGGCAAATTAGTTTGTGATATGATATATCAAACTAAATGATAAGTGTATGAACCATTTACATCTGAATTGGAATTTTAATTAAATAATAATGACAACTACAATACTAATGTAGTGGAAACTTTAGTTGAATGCCATTTACAAAGGAAAAGAACCTCTTTTTCTTGCTTAAATGACTTCTGACTTAACTTTAATCATCATACTAAGTTTGATACTTTGAATAATATTGTATATTCATATGTTTTCAGTATGTGGAAATGAACAAGTCTCAAGATAATGACTGGTTTAGATTGGAGAGCAACAAAGAAGGCACTCGTTGGTTTGGCAAGTGCTGGTATGTGCAGGACATGCTGAAGTACCAGTTTGATGTCGAGTTTGATGTAAGTTTATGTGTTGAAACGTCACTGCCTATCATTAACACAACATAACTGTGCTGAAATATTTCCATTATCAGAACATTTGGAAATCTTTAATTCAAAATTTTAATTTAATAATAGGTAGGCAAAAAAGGTTGCTTTCATGTGCTCCAGTGTTTGTATATCTAATTCATAGAGTCCAAGTTGTTTGTACTGAATAACCTTGTAATTATTTGCAGATTCCTGTGACATACCCAGCCACATCTCCAGAGATTGCTTTACCAGAGTTGGATGGCAAGACCGCCAAGATGTATCGAGGAGGCCGAATTTGTCTCACCGATCACTTCAAGCCTCTTTGGGCTAGAAATGTGCCAAAATTTGGCATTGCCCATGCCATGGCTCTAGGGGTATGAAATATTTTATTGCTCATGTTTGACTAATATGTAGGCATGTATCCAGGGAATAAGTAAAAACTCGGAAGTGTGTGATTACTGAGTTATGTTGGGCTGCATCATTACCAAATGAATCCAGATATGATCAGGTGTTTGTTTAATGAGCTTAACCTTGACTGTTCATCAAAAAACCAGGAGAAACGTGAGCAAAATTAAGAGCATCAATAGAATGTTTTTTATCATTATAAAATATAATTACTTTCACAAGATATATTTAGCCGGTCACATTGTTATTATTATAAACATACACTAACTCGAGAAAGACACTTACTCTTTACAGTTTAAATTCCAATGCAATGCTATGGTCAAACTCTATAATTAAGGTTGAAAATAGTTTTAATTTCAACATTTATTTGAATTTCATACTTTTGAATCTTTCCTTTGGAATTGATCCCACGTCTGCACAGATTAAATTTAACAATCTTGATAATTTGACAGCTCGGTCCATGGCTGGCGGTTGAGATTCCTGATCTGATCAACCGAGGTGTGGTTGTGTACAAGGAAGGTGGGGGCGGTCCCGTCACCTCGTCATAAGATTTCCCTGACTGCACCTGAATAAACAAACAGCTTGCTGAAGATTCCGGACTTCCCTTTCTGCAGCCAACACGGCACCCAATCATCTTTACACGGCACCCAATCATCTTAGCATACTAACGTCACCAAATCATCTTTGCACACAACACAGCACCAATCATCTCTTTGCAGACAACACGGCAGAAAATCATACAATCTTCAGATATGGTCTGATGGACTACAACGGATTGGCTGTCGTATCGAAGCTGCTATTACCTGAATAATAAATATCTGTGGCAGCACATCGAAAGTCAAGTTGCAAATGCATGTAATTAAAACATCCGCCAGCTGACCACATGTTGCTCTTGGAACCCGTAATTCCATACTTAATAATTTTGCTTCAATAATATGTGTGATTGTTAATGTTTTATGGGTAGTGGTCCTTCAACTTGCATTCATGTATCTTATAAAAGTTGCATTTCATCACAGAACAAAGCACCATCATTCCGAGTTAGCTGCATTAAATTTCTTAATTATGGCGTAGAAGCGTCGAACAGTGGGCGAGTTAATAAGCTTAAATTAAACAGCAACAGAGCAATCAAAATATCTTGTACGTCTTTACACGGTAACTCTGAGGCCGTGTAAAGAGGCTTAGCTCAATTGTTGCTAGGTTATGAATCCCTTTGTTCGAGGACCACTACGGCCGCAAACTAACAGCTCGAAAATTGAACTATCTGAATCTCTCGCTTTCTCGGCCTCATAAAATAAATTGTCGTCGCCTTCTGCTGTCATTACATATAAAATAATACTGTTGACTCTATGGTCTTGAAATATTCCTCCATTCGGTCTTTATATTTCCTCGTATCTTCCTTTTTCTTTGATTTATTTCTCTAATTGTCCAGATTTCCATAAGAAGGCTGATGTGCAATCATTCCTTAAACTGCTGTCAAGGATATTTTTTTTTTTAAGTGAATATCGTTGCGCGAAACGGTAGTTTGCTGTCGTGCCGATTTTATACTTAATTTAAGGGTCTAGATTTTAGTAGAATCATGACGTTTGGGAAATAAAATATATATTATAATTGTAGCGGTTTATTTTTTATAAAATTGTTCATTAATAGAAAAATTTCGTTCAAACATTATTGATCAGATATGACTTCAGCTTTAGGGTTTAGCACTCATTGGTTTTCTTCCAATCAACTTGACAATAACGACAAGAAATATGTATGCATAAGCATTTCGTTCCTACTTCACTGGAGGTTCTTCAACTCAAATGATGCCCCCACAACGACCCTCGATGATGCAGTTTTTTAAACTAGGATGATCAAAAAAGCAATCAAGTGCATCAGGCAGAAGACTATAGCACAAAGATTAGTTGATCTTAGTGTCACAATCAAATGATGTGATGACATAAGTTGTATCTTTTAGTTTTCAATAGTGGAAGAATTACGGCTGGTTAGTAACCAAACTCTTCACTGTCATGAACCTAATTTTGTATGAGATCCATTATTGACAATTGATTATGACTCAAAAATATGTTGTTGATTTGTGACTACTACAAAACCTGGAATTAATGTTCAAGAAACACGTCAAATTATTTCATATAATAGAAGCTCCATTGGTTGCAATATTAAAGTATTGAGTTAATGGTAGCTTGATAAAGAATCGTTCTGAGAACCTGCAGAGTGGATTACCTAAGGCATGAAAAATTGGTGAGCGCTGTACAGCAGATTTACAATTCTGCTGTAGATAATATAATTTCCTAAATGTCGCGTAATTTCGTGGGAAATGCAAATGATAACACATGACGCGCTACTTCGAAAGTTTGGCATGCTTATCTTTCAATTCAACCGATAAAACAATACAGTGGCTGCACTATATAAACGAGCATTTCAGCATTATTGATAACAATTTTATAACTAACAATCATCTTCGGATCTCTGAAGTGAAAAATTAATTCAGAAAAACGCAACCTAAAATACTGCTGGGATGGAAGGCAATAATAATGTCAACTACCTTACCGAAGATGGTAATAACGATAAAAACGGCTTAATAAACAAGTCACTAATTGCACCGATCGATGAAAAGTCATACTTAGCGAATAATAACAAGCAAGAAACAATATTGTATCAACATTAGTCGTACCCAGTATCGTCGATACGAAAAATTGCATAATATTGAACAATTTTTATCGAGATCGTAATTGAATCAAATTTTCTTTTAAATGTGAAGTTCAACTACACGAAACTAGCCAGCTTACGACTATACGTTAAAGCACACTAATAAACGTCCTTAAAATATCTGTGTGAGTAAACATTTAAAAACATTGAGTATTATACCGTCCAGTGACTAACACGAGCCAAGACGAGCACCAGAAAAAGCTATTTATATATCCGAAATGAAGATTATGCGAAAAATATAAAATTAAAGCGAGCAAAATCGACGGATGAACGGAGCTCAAACCTTTAAATGTGACACACTGAACGTGAGAACATGGGTGATTCAAGTAGAAATTGGTCCATAGTTTAAGCTTAGCATGACTTGAAAACACTTTTGATTTGTGCTGATACTAAATTAACGAATATCTTCCAAAAATTGGCGTTCGTGATCACCAGGTAGAAATAGAATTAAATGGGATTAATTGTGCATGATGCTTCAATACTTATCAAGCAATTCTAGTGGGTAAAAATAATTCGTAAATAAGTTCATTTAGAGCAAATGCACTCATTTGCACGCCCAACAAATTTCTATATTATTATACAAGAATATTTGATATTAGATGCAGCGAAAGATGCTGAAGTCACATAAGTTTTCGTTGTTCGGGGTGTACAGCGTCATTTAGCCCACTAAACCAGTCGCCTATTTTGAACATCGCATAACATTCACAGCTTGTAGTAGGTCTCGAACACGCAACTCAATGCCTCAATTTTGCGTTGCTTAACCGCCCGATCACCTCGCCGATTTGACCAGAACTGTCGCAGGTAGTTGGCATCGAACCCATAGCTCATTACTCCAATCCAATTACTCTGGACTGTAACCACTGGGCCCCGTAGATATAGCGTCATCTGCGTTGCAAGCTACATAGAATAGCAGCATTGCTCTCATCTGGGTCGACGTTTGTAGCAGATGCAAGATGAGGATCATAGCAGCGTCTCAATGACGGGCTTCACGGGAAGCTCGAAAGATGCCCCACTGGGGCTTAAATTTTCTTTATTGGATAAATCCGTTCCAATGAAAGGCGAACACTTCATGGGCACAACTCCTGGTGTGCACTTTTCCTCATCATCTAATTCCAAGACAAACACTTCTTCGCAGTCTTCTTGACTGGGAGTGCACTGAAGCTCGGAAGATAAAGCTGGACATATTTGGGAACTAGAATCTCTACCAGGTGCTTTATTGGAATTTATCTCACGTGTCTGCATAGACAAGGAATGGAAATCTACATCATCAAGATTTGTTGAAAGCCGACTTGTTTTATTCTTGCTCGTGTTTCTGACATCAAGTTCTTGCCTAGGCTTGATTGTGTTGACCCCAACCACTTCCTTCAATTCTTTATAAGATTTACATCGATCGTTGTTGAACTTTTCACAACCCAAATCCTCTTTAGATTTCCAACCTCCCGTTTCATCGCCCAAAGTCAGCCCTGTCGTCTCAGTCTCACGATGAGTTTCATCCTCACATTCAAGGTCACGAAGAGCTTCTAAAGATTCTCCTATTGCTAGAGTGACTCTTGCGTTAGGCTGCGGGGACTCTAGAGGCGGGTCTACATAATGGAAGCTTGTAGTCTTCCCGAGCACCTCGGTCGTCTGCGGAGCGATGCTGCGAGCCGAGTCGGGGCTCGCCAGGGGCGCGGAGGCTGCAAGGTGTGACAGAGGAGAACTCCGGCCTGACTGCCTCACCGCTGTAAAAATCATTTATTTATTAATTATTAGATACTATTAATAATGCAAATATATAAAATATAATATTCGCCAGCAAACGATTATACTTCGTGTATTTCATTCAACACCGTAGCCTGTTTCCAAGCTTCAATTCCAACATGAATGGTAACGCATCATCAGAACTGACGTGCTCTCTCAATGTGAAGTTAGTTATTCATAGATCATGTGTTCATTATTTATAGTATTCTTACATGGAACTATGGGCGCACTTTGTTTTAACCTAATTGACTGAACATAGTAGTGAAACTAAAGTGGGCACACGGTGCTCACTTTATTAGGCATTGGTAAAGACTCTGGGTATGCGTAACTCATCTAGGAATGTGTTCAAATAACTATGCAACATATGAAATCTAGAAATAATCTTGAGTCACTCTCCCCTCAATTGAATTAATTGAATTCCAACCTTAGTTTAGATAAAAACTAAATTATAAACCTAACTATTGGAGCGACCCATGCAGTCAACATATTGTCTATTGGAATACGAACGCATCCAAATTGAACTTACCTTTGTTTGTTAACAAGGTGGGTAATTTAAGAAAAATTAATAAAATTGTGGTAGCAGCGTTGAAGATTAAAGCATGTTTGGCCTACCGCCGTTTATAGACATTGCTGAACTTTCACAGCTAACTAGGTCTCGAACCTGCAAGTCACTGCTTCAATCTTGCAGATCAGAATTACCCAACAACTTCACCGATTTGTGAAACATATCATTTTTACAGCTAAGCAAAGACTCAAACTCACACCTCGTTACTTCCCACAGCTACTAACTACTCCCCGGTGCAACTAACTGCTCCCCGGGGCAACTAACTGCTCCCCGGTGCAACTAACTGCTTTCTAATCCACTACATACTGAGTGGATAATATCTTTATGTATTGGCCACCCCGCCTTTATGCTCACCAGCAGGGCGGGTGCGGGTGTGGTGGCCACGGTTCAGGTGGGTCATGGCGTCGAGTGGCAGGACAATGCGCTGGTCGTCAAGGTCAGGAGGCGAGCTCGTGTCGAACAGCCCGACGTTGTAGGCAACCACCGTCGCGTGGTCCAGCTTGCCAGGCACCAGCGCCAGCTTCTCGCAAACCTAAAATAATATTCGATAATTCTACGAATTAAAAACTATGACCTATCTTCACAATGGATAAGTCTCTGAATTCACCACGCAAAACTATAATTATGATTAGAAATGTTCTGAACTAGAAATGTGTGAATTCACCAAGCAAATCTATTATCCCAAATTGATAAATTTGTGAATTCATGAACTGTGGACAATGAAGTTACGAATGAAACTGAAGTCACCGATGAAACATTAAATTAACTCTACCTATGTGTGAACGGAGACCTATCAAATACTAACAAAGGAAAATTATCTATTCTTTATTGAAACCATTTCAGAGACCATAATCACCTTAACCCTCTACTGTCGGACGTGAGTAACCGGAGCAATATTGTCACACAAGCCTACCCAAAAAGGATACGTTGCTATTGAGCGCAAAATGACTTGCACTTATGGTTGCCGCCACGTACAACTTTAAAATGTTCTCTGTTGCGTACAAACGTCCTCAAGTTGCTCCACTCAATAGTTAAAGTATAATTGTATGTTCCCGGAGAGTGACATACAGCGGTAGAGGGTTAGGATTCAAGAATTCTAGCTAATGAACGATGTTATTAAAGACGAAAAGTTAATGCAAATCAGGTTTAAACCCGAGCCTAATTCAATTATTACGATCTCATGCACCTGATTCAGCAATAAAAAAAGGGACGTAAATTGCATTCTTAAATTATTTCAATACAAAATATTACCGGTACCTTATATACTGTAAGATGATTTGTAAAATCTTTAATGGAAATATAGCTTACTTTTCGTCTACGATTGCGTTGTTCGCCCCTGGAAAGTTGCGAGGTGCCCGGCTTCTGCTCAGTGCCCGCCGCCGAGACTCCATCGGTGGAGGGTGTGATCTTCGGAGGCGGATACAGATCAGGATCTTCCAACACACGTCGCTTTGCTAACGTCAACTTGGTCGCGAAGTGTACCATCTCCAAACACAGTGTCTGCACACAATAATTACACTGTTAGAAGAAATAACAATTAAAATAATTGTACAAACGTCGTATTTATAATAATCATTTCCGTTTACTGATGCGCATGAGCGTAAAATTTCAGTCCACTCGTACCAAACTGATATTTTGTAGCAACATAATTTAAATTCTCCCCACTAATTCTAATTTTGCTTATTTATTTCTGTAATAAACCCCGAGAACAAACACCTGTGCTAGCGATAAAATTTGAAACGTCATAATTTAAAAAAAGCAAACCTGTGCGTTGACAACAGGCTTATTGGTTGTGATGCCGCGACGGAGAAGATCTTCCATCCTAAGCAGCGTGAGCTCGTGACGCTGATGAGCCTCAACTTCAGGAGGTACGAGGTCCTCTGAATCCTGCAAGTAGCTTCTGTTGCCTGCTAAGTTTTTATTTGTGTCTCCAGAGGAAGAATTCTTATTTTCGGTAAGGCTGAGGTTGCCACTGAGACCAGCCGAACCCAGGGTCGAGGCTTGCTTTGGTGCGGCGGAGCCACAGGGCGGCCCAGCGCTCGCCCCCAGCACCGACGGCTGAGACTTGCTGCGACTCACAACCTGAAGTACATTTGCAATTGACACGTTAATTCACAATTGACACATTGAATCACAAATAACATATTTCCTAGCATCTACACAATTTTTTTGGTATAATGACTTATATCTAATTCCAGAAATCTGATTCTAAAGTGATTGGTTTACCGCTCAATGAAGAATAAATAGTTAAACATATGTACATCGAGAAAAAGGCAGAAAAGTCGCTCGCTTCACGAACAACGGGGTGCAAAATTTTCCCTTTCCTAATAACAGTTGAAAGACAAAATTTGCAAAATCTATCTTAACGAACGTGGAATGAAGAAAAATAGCTGGAATAGTCTCCCAAATTTGAGACTTGCATCTTATTTAGGACGAGAGTTATGGTTCCAAGAAATAGTGAATAAACCTCATATGACTGGACGCGGCCTGACGGCGGGACCTCAGCCTCTTTACAAGCAATTGACACATTGATTCACAATTAACACATGACTCACAAATGTCACATTGCGATGCACAATTGACACACTAACTCACAACTGACACATTTACAGATGACACATTGACTCACGATTGACACAATGACTAAAAATTAACACTAGTCTCAAAAATGACACGTGTCTCACAAATGACATGTAGACTTTGAATTCACACATTATGGCAGATTTCACACATTCACTTAGAATTGTCACAGACACGAAATTGCTCTCGAGCTTCCCTGTATTTTACTCGGAAGTGACAGCAAACAGCACCAGCATTTATGCATTACCTCAGGATTTAACAAGAACTACCTACCATGATGTTGACTATATCAGGAAACACCTGATCTCGTAATCACTTCGAGATCGTGTGATTCGTGTGAATCGACTCAGAATTTTTGGTTTAATTATTTTCGAAATCGCTAGCACACCAAGCCTGTGTTCACAATTTGAATTACTAGTGAACAACTCTGGTGTTGCCTTTCAAAAAACCACGCATACATCGCAACTACAACACCACGCATATATGGCTAGCAAGAAATTGTGCTAAGACTTAATGCGAGAAATAGACATAACTAATAGGATGATTTTCGACGTTTCACTGCAGAAGCATTTGATTGAACGCTGGAATAACGTCGCGCTGGTATATATTTCTCACATTTCAAAAAGGTATTGTTGATATTGCAAAATGGAAATTCATGATGGAGTACAAACGTATCGATCAACCCAACTGTAACACGATCGATTTGTCTTAACGCTGCACTCATCTCCACAGATTATTCATAATCAATCATGGTATTCATGCCCTGAAATGTAGTAATAGGCAGCTAATAAAAAGGCTTCACTTACAGCTTACAATTGAGTACAATTAACTGTGGGTACAACACCGAACACTATATCAGAGATTAGAACCCTGGAAGTAAGATAAGTATCTGAATCCTGGTAGAATATTAGAATCCTGGTTATATATTAGAGTTCTGATTAAATATTAGAACCTAGTTTTACATACCTGCTTAAATCCATTGGTAACGGAGAGTAGCTGCTGATGTCTTATCCTCTGTCCCCGTGATTGTTTTCTAGGATTTTGCTGGCAGATCTGCTCATATTTCTGCAGTAACTGCATCTGTCTTCTCGACTGCTTGCTCTTGCTTTTGCTAGTTAACGAAAAATTAGTTTTTTGCTGTTGCTCTTGTGCTTGCAAGTTCATTTTCTGCTTTTGGCGTTTTTTCTTCTCCTCTTGCATGCACTCGCTCTCTGTCTTCTCTCTCTTTTCCCCGCTTTCCTCTTTCTTTGGCAGGACAAACTTGCCGACGACCGGGTCAAAATTATCCGAAATGCCGTCGGATGTGAGGAAGACCAGGTCACCCTCCTCCACAAAGGTCATGGAGCACGTCAGGTTGTTGAGTTCAGGGTTGAGTCCGTCCACTGGCCCCAGGGCCCCCAGGGCGTCCCGCATGTCCCGCATGCTGTGGATGTCGTGCGACGCTGCAGGGAAAAAGGGACGTGAAAGTTTCTGGGATGTCACAAAATTATGACTTGAAGGCTGCAAGATCCCAAGGAGTGGATAGGGAATGTGAATATCATGGGGAAAATGAGGCGTGAATATCATGTGACAAGTGAGGCATAAATGTCATGGGATAAGTGAGGCGTGAATGTCATATGATAATTGAGGCGTTAATGCTATGGGACAAGTGAGGCGTGCATGTCATGGGGCAAGTATGGCTTTAATGCTATGAGGAGTGCATGTCATGCGAGGCTCGAGGGACACTGAACGAAAATGTCGTGGGACGCTAAGAGGAGAGTGAGAAGTGAATGTCGTGTAACTCTAGAAATAAGTGGAACTAAAATCTCGCGCGACAGAAGGTGAAGTGGGATGTGTACGTCGTGCAACGCTGAAATTTCCTTCCCCAAGTGAGCAATGGGTGTCATGCGACGAAGGTGGTAATGTAGAGGATAGCATTGGGCGAAGTGGCAATTGAGACATGCGTGTATCCAGTTGGTGGCTATGAAAATTAAGAAACGTGTGTGATACCTTTGTGACTTTCGAGTGAAAATTAAGAGGTGCGTGTATCAAGTTAGTAGTATGTATAGAAAGTAAATAACGAGTATGTTTCCGATAAACAACTTTTATTTGATCAACAAATAAGTTACGTTGAACATTTATCACTCAAAAAGATCGAGATGAAGGCACATTAATAATGATGCACAGGTAGATAAACATAACACTCGTTTTATTCGACACCACTTACACGAAATTTTAGCGGCTCTAATTTGAAATCTGGTTTAATAAAGTCAATTCACATTGCGCAATTTCAAAGAAAGTGAACTCACCTTGCGTGATCTCCCTGACTCCGTGCTGCTGGGAGTAAACGTACGCCAGGGAGTCGCCCACGTTGCACACGCACACCACGTACCGCCCGCTCTTGCTGCACAATAACATTTGCTTTATCATTAATAATTCATACATGTACGGAACTCGAAGAATTATCAACTTTAAAATTAACAATTTCCACATGTATGGAATTTAGAGAATTGTCAATTTACAATTAATAGTTCATCCATGCAGGAAATTTGGAGAATTATAAACTTTACATGACGACATGAAACTGGGCTTGTCTAACATGAAGCATCTTTCTACGAACGATGTCGGTCCAAAAACTCATCATACACATGCTAACTAGATGCAATACTACCTCGGATAGACATGCAAACTATTGTGCATGTAAATAATCATTATTCGACAAATACCTAATAGCTAAAACTAATGTCGTCAGCCTTCAATAAAAACGATCTATTTTTCTTTTAAATAAAACTATACCTTAAATTTCTAGTGAGATCTAAACATTTTAGTTCCTATGTGTTCACCGAACCCTACAAATAGTAGTTCTGACCAGTAGTACTATACGGCTCTTGTGGACGAGCAGCGAGTCAAGTGTAATACCTGCTGAATGGCGACACATGTGTCATGGACGGTAGATGTTAAATATGGAGTAGCGGACAGAATAATAGAGTAACGGACAATAGTACGAAGTAACGGGCAGAATAATGGATAACCGGGCAGAATAATGGATCAACTGGCAGAATAATGGATCAACGGACAGAGTAATGAAGAGGTAATATGAGCACCTGACGGGGGCGACGATGGCAGCGGTGAGGGTGGTGAGCTGACCGCCCTCCTGCAGGATGAGGTTGTGCGCCGCGTGAAAGCTCCTCAGCAGCGCCACGAATAAATCCTGTAACAGTACACGACATGATAGTATACA